TATTCTTTTTATACTTTTATTAAGTGCTACATTTCAGCCATTCACATGCTTTAAATCTGCATTAGGGTCCAGAATCTGGCAATAACTTATTTATTGCACTCAGATTTAGCGCAGGCTTTGCATTTGTAAGTGCAATTTTTAGGTAAGTTACCTCTATCTTGTAATGTATTTAGATATTCCTATCCATTATTTTCAATTGGTTTTTGCTCAGTGTTATTTACATAAAGGGGGAAGGTTGGCTGGCCAAAAAACATGTTCAACCCCACTTTTATATAAATTATTTTAAATATTAGCTGTCCTAAGTCAGCAATGTTTATAACACTGCAGCATCCATTTTATAATTTTTATTCTCGTTTACTCATATGTCCTTCATTGTGTGATTTTCCTACTGTCTATGTGTTTTTCGAATGTGATTGTTGGATGTTATGTCTTGTTTGTAGAGAATAAGCCTATATATATATATATATATATTAGTGGACCCAACAGACGTTGTCCTGTACCAGTGGCGCACGCGTGGGGAGTGTCCTAGGGGTCCGGCCCCCCCCCCCTCCCATAGCACTCGATTTTTTTTCCGATTGATGATAATCCTTTGCATACAGTACGTAAAATTTAATTAAGTATTTGTTATTAATAATTAATTTTATGAATTAATACTAATTATTCATTCAATAATTAATTTTTTATTGTTTTTGTTCCCGAAAATCGACAAAATCAAGAGAACATGTTGGGCGATGTATTGCAGCATGATACCAAAATGGTAGACTTTCGAACCTGGATCCCCCCTTTGAAAATTTTTTGTGTGCGCTACTGTCCTGTACACACATCTTAAATTCAAAAATTCCAAATTTTTATGAATAAGCTTTAACCATTCTCGAGTCCATTTGAACAGACACAAAAAATTTCATCAAAATCGGTCCAGGCGCTTAGGAGTTCAGTCACATACACACGCACAGAAGATTTTTATATATAAAGATATACCGTGTCGTGGCTTTTCTTGCCGCGCATTAGCAGAATAAATAGCACACAGAGGTAAAAAAAATTATGCGTTTTAAGGTTTTTAATTAGTATCTTTTTAAGTAATTGCGATATCGGACCGAATTGTGAATCTAAACCATTCTCGAGTCCACTGGAACAGACACAAAAAATTTCATCAAAATCGGTCCAGGCGTTTAGGAGGAGTTTATATAGTCACATACACACGCACAGAAGATTTTTATATTTAAAGATATATATATATATATCTTGTTCAAATTTTCAATCGTTAATGAAATATTTTTTATTCATCCACTCAAGTTAAAATACATTTTTTTAAACTTGTAGTGGATGAAACTTGATGTTAATACAGATTTTTCGAATATTAATTCAGTAATTAAATTTAATGAATGAATAGAAACAAAACAAAAAATATAATAGTCCAACATCATTTATAAAAAGGAAAATCTCTCTCGCTCTTTGTGTCCCTGTGGCGCAGTGGATAGCGCATTGGACTTCAAATCCAAAGATCGTGGGTTCGAGTCCCACCTGGGATGATCTAATGTCTGAGAATGTGATTTCCTTTTAATATGCTATTTTATTAGAATAATTAAATTTAATTAATGAATAAATAGTAACAAACAAAAAATAATAGTTTAACACCATATATAGAAAGGAAAATGGAAAATTGCTTTCTGTTTTGCCACTTAATATTGTGATTCTGTCATATGTATATACATATTTATATTATAGTTATAATTATTCAATAAAAAGTATAACTAAAATACATTTTTTCATTGTTGACCTAAGTAGAGGAACAAACTTAAATTTTCTTATATTACTTGTTCATTTTAACAGGCAAAGTTGAGTACTTGTTTAGCATTACGGTATGGTTGACGAAGAATAGAATTTCTTTTATAGAAGGGGGGGAGTGATTCAAATGGAAATATGATGCAATACAAAATAATATTACGCTTCTACTTTTTATTGGATGTTTGTGGAGTTAAGGTGTAATATTCATCATGTGTGAATCTCTTTTTCAATCTAATTTATACCGAATTTGTAAACTATTTTTTTACTCGAATGTTGAAGTTTAGATTCCAAAGTCGGAATGCTTTTTTCAAGTATAGAATTCAAGTAAACTTATTTTTTATATTAATAGTTTGCATGTTTTAAAATCTAAAAATATGTTTTAAATTTCGTTCCAGGTCTTTACCGTGAGGCTAAAATAGTTTTAATTGCTAATTCGCATGCAAATGGTCATTTTCTTTTACGACGCTTTCATTATACGTATTTTTAAACATTACAAAATGGTTAAATAAAAAATTGGGGGGAGGGGGGGGGAAGAACATTTTCAAGAACATTGAATATTTTTCCTTATTCCGTGTATCACTTATTGTAATATGTGTAATAGTTTCGCGAAAACATAAATTTTTAAAATCCGGTCTTCATTTGTGCTAACTATGCATAAGTAAATTTTAATAAGTCATCGTTTTTATGTTAAGCTAAGTCTTTCTCGTTTAGCGTCATTTACAGGAAAAAAAATAATGGATTCAAAAAAGAAAGAGTAAGTGATATGTAATGCGTGTATGTGTGTTATCTGTATGTCTGATGTATTTTTTATTCGAAAAAAACTTTATACGTGCTTACTTAAAATACTTTTAATATGTTCAAATACTTTATGTACTACAGTAAAAAGTATCAATGCACCTTCAGAGATTATTTTTTTAAATCATTTAAATTTTGTCTTCAAATGGATATTTTATGGTTTTATGAGGTTTTAAAATTAGAAAAGTATCCAAAAATGTTCGATTAGATTGTATTTATTCTATCAATAGGATAATTTGTACAGAAAAGTTTTTTCTAAAAAACAAGAGAATAAATATAATCGCTTTCTTTAGGCAATGAGTTCTCTTTTCTAATAATATTATCCTTATCTAAGATGCTATAGTAATTAAAATGCTGAAAAATTGAAATTTTCCTTGTAATTCATTATAATTACCAATTTACGACATTGTTAAAACGATTAATCAATCTAAAATTTTAACATAGCTTAGTTCTTGAATAAAAAGTACCAAAATATATAATTAGAATGTCAAGTTAAATCATTCATTGAGCTATGAGATATGTTTTGCGTATGAAAAATACGAAGAAATTCATCTTGAGTAGACGTCAAAAGGAGTAAGTTACAATTCGGGTTGCAAAATTTAAACGATCATGTAATATTGCAACTTGCTGTATTTACACTGGCGTAGCTAGTCCTGATTGATTGATTGAATATTAACGTCGCACTGTTCAGCTACACGAGGACCACGTAATTTTGAACCATGGTCAAGTGACGTGGACGACACCTGAGCTGGCACCCCCCTCTCCTAACTACCACACCACTCCTACGGGAGGACGTTTCAGCTCTCGACAGATTTAACGTGCATCGCTGCCCTACACGGCGGGTCTTTAGTGGTACTGGGCTCGAACTCGTGACAAGGCAAGCCACGATCCGATACCTATACCACTCGGCTACCGCGGCCACGTAGCTAGTCCTGAGTGGGCCTTATATCAAAAATTTCTTGGTGGTAGGGGGCCTTTTTGGATCTTGTTAATATTTAACGATTTTTTGCTTACACTTGTTGGGGCCCCTGTAGCTGACTGTAGTGGTAGCTACACCCCCGTGTATTTAGATTTCTTTATGATAGGGGCAAAAATTCTAGAGCATTTCTAAAAAAAAATAACTTTAATTTCAAGCCTAAATAAGAATTTTTTTTTTCAATATTTTGACAAATAGTTTTTTGATAGTTTACTGGTATTTCACACACACATAATTTTTCTCTCTCATTAAACATGTTCCATGTGCGTGCTTGTTTTATATTGTTTTAATTTCCCCGAATATGTCCCCCCCCCCCCCCCCTTTTTTTTTTTTTTTTTTCATCTTGCATTTCCTATTACGGTGACTTTCGGACTAAACATTTGTTTTCGTACCAACATTTTTACCACTCCCCCTTTTTTTTTTTCATGCGCTTTTCTACAAATTCTGATTGCTTTTTACGTACCCTTGTGAACAGTCTAGCATGCAACCCTGAGGGGGGTACACGTAATACTGTTTGGGCCCTATCCTCCTATTATAACCAGTATGACTGAAAACCTTGAATGAAATGTTTTGTTTTTTTTCTTGTCTCTTTAAGTGCGATTCTCGTCGGCTTTTTAAGAATCCGCAGCGACTTTTTTCCAAAACGGTGATTAGTCGCTTTATGAAATCGCTCCCTTCGTGTTTGTCTGTTGTGTGGCCTTGAAAAAAACCTCCTACAACTACCATAATCCCAATGCCCCTGCCAGAAGAGGGCGGGGGGGGCCCGAAGGGTGGTGGTTTCCACTGATTGTAACCATGCATTCATTCTCTTGTAATGAAGCATCTGTGAAATAAAAAATAAAAGGATAAGATTCTTGAGTCAAGTACAGATGCGAAACCCGCTATTTAGCCACAAAATTCATTATTTTTTTCCTCTCAACCCCATCTTTTCGATTTCTATTTTTTTTTTTACTTGTTTTTGTTTTTTTATTAAGATTTCGATGAAGTGGTGAGGAATTTCTTGTTAAAATTGCATGCAGTGGAGTTAAAATTCGTTAGAAATATCCTTCGTAATAGTTTTGTAGTTTTTAGTTTTATTGCGTTGTTGCGTGGTAATTGTTTTTTTCTTTTGGACACGTTAGAACAAAGACGTTTTCGTTTGAGATAAATTTATCCTTGCCTTTATATACGTGCATATAGTTTTAATCTATTAATTATCCTTATTTTAATTGAAGGAACAGTTATACTAATATTTCCGTTTTATAATGAAGGTTAATAGAATTAATATTTTCTGGAACCTTACATACTTTATTAAAGAGAAAGGATTAGTAAATTTTGGTTCTTGTTTATTTCAGTTTATTTAAAATAATTATTGAAGTTTTTCACAGGTTAAGGTTCATTGATTGTAAAAGACACACCTTGAAGCATCTCCATACAATACCCAAACATTATCATTTTAATTTCTGTTATATTAAGACTTGTAGTTTAACTCATAATATAATACTAACATTGTTGCATGATTTCGATTTTTTTGGAATATTTCTTTGTAAATTCGATAGTTCGGGGCAGGCCCGCTCCTGTTCCAACTCCGATTACCGAGATTAGTATAATAATTAAATTTTTAAAGAGGTTTAAATTTTTGCCGGTTTCATACATTTTGTGTGATTGAATTTCATAAATCGAAGTATAATACTGATTTGTTATCTGGTGTTTCAGTAATAACATTTAAAATAGTAAAAAAAAAATTCAATCGATGGTAAAATTTAATTCATATTTGTAAATTATTATATCTATAGGAGGATCATATGTACGTTATATAAGTGGAATCGTTATATATAAGTAATTATAAGGAACGTATAATCACAAAATGTGTGTTACTTTCAATAAAAAGTAATTTTTTTATCTTTAATTTTCCTTCTCTTGGCTATGCATTTGAATAATGTTTAACATCGTATTATTTGATATTTTATAATATTATTCTGTAGTTTAATAAATTTTTTTCAACTTCTATCGTGTTTTATCAGTTTTGTCCCCTTTCCCTCATCTAACTTTAAATTAATGATTTTATAAAAAGAAAATTGAAGTGAATATTTATCTTCGTAAATACATTGAAAATAACATTATGTAACTAGAACAAATTTTGTTCGTTATTTTGACTTCTGAAATTACTGGAAGTCACAAAACATTTTCATATACTAAATTTTGTAATGATTATTAATATTGCTTCATTACTGCTGATGAGATTTTAGTGAAAATTTACGATGGAATGCTACATAATACCCCTTCGTTTTAACTAAAAATTACACCGAAATGTTATAATCTAACTTTTTATTTTAATCAAAAATGTTGTAACACTTTTTTTGGTGAGATTTAACCTTTTTAAATACTTTCATCCCGCAATTCTAAGTTGATCCATCAATCTCAACCAATATTACCCGCTTCACAAAACAACTTATCACCTTACGTATTTCTTTAACCTTAACACATCACACACAATACATTATATCAAAAAAAGAATGTTTTTACTCTTTAACATAACAAACGATACACTGCAATTGTTTGTACATTTCATTCACCTCGCTCATTGATTCCGCACAAACCAAAGTTTACAGTATCGTCTGCTAACACCAACCCCTTGATTACCACCAATTGTTCTAGTGAATGGCGCGACCTGTAAATAAAGCTATTAGTCGCTTCCTGAACCCTACCTTATTCTACAAGAGTCTGCCGCTGTACATTTTCCCTAGGATACAGTTGGTTCTTTCTTCGCCCGCCACAACTATGAATAATTCACCCCCTCTCACTACTCTCACCATTTGATGACGATGCAGCTTATCGATTGGACTACCTTCTTGGAGTTCTTTCTGCAAACGCCTTCAACTTCAGCTTTAATGCACAAAAATATTATACACCTCCCCCCCCCCCCTTGCCTTTTTTTATATTTATTATTTACTTATGTTTCGTTTATTATTTTTCCCCGCGTGTCCTCGCCCC